CTTGCCGGATTTCTAATCATTTTGCATCCGTCCCCTTTTCCGCATAGTCGTAGACGTTCGAACCATGCCATCGGAGCAGCCAGCCCATGCCCGCTGCTACTGACAGCGTTGTGGCAATGCCAGACGGGTTTGGGTCGAAACCAGCGCTATGGATTTTACACGGTTTACGACTTTCGCACTGACGCATTGTTAACTACTACTCATGAAAGGAATATGAAATTCAAGTCACTTCGCCTCATTTGTTCCCTTCAGAGAGTTTTAGGTGTCATGTATGGTATGTATGGTATGTATGGCATGTATGGTATGTATGGTACGGTATGTATGGTACGGTATGTATGGTATGTATGGTATGTATGGTATGGTATGTATGGTATGTATGGTACAGTATGTATGGTATGTATGGTATGGTATGTATGGTATGTATGGTATGGTATGTATGGTATGTGTGGTACAGTATGTATGGTACGGTAGGTACGGTAGGTATGGTATGTATGGTACAGTATGTATGGTATGTATGGTACAGTATGTGTGGTATGTATGGTGCAGTATGTGTGGTATGTATGGTACAGTATGTATGGTATGTATTATGGTACAGTATGTATGGTATGTATGGTACTGTATGTATGGTACGGTATGTATGGTACGGTATGTATGGTACAGTATGTATGGTACGGTAGGTACGGTAGGTACGGTATGTACGGTATGTGTGGTATGTATGGTACAGTATGTATGGTATGTATGGTACAGTATGTGTGGTATGTATGGTATGTATGGTATGTATGGTATGTATGGTATGTATGGTATGTATGGTATGTATGGTATGTATGGTATGTACGGTATGTATGGTATGTATGGTATGTATGGTATGTATGGTATGTATGTAATGTATGTAATGTATGTAATGTATGTAATGCATGTAATGGCATGTAATGGCATGTAATGGCATGTAATGGCATGTAATGGCATGTAATGTATGTAACGTAATGTAATGTAATATATAGCGCCGGACAACTACTTAGAACATCGTTTTGGAAATTTTTCGGTGGGTACGCGCGCTCTACTTAGAACATTTTCGGCGAATAGGGGGACGTATGTTCTAAGTGACTTAGAACATATGAGGATCCTCTACTTAGAACATGCCATCATATATACATGTAAATATATGTATATGTATACATACATACAACTTAACACTGCATATTTATATTATATATACAGGTGGTGTGATGTTGCGTTAAGATACATGGAGATGACTATATTGAGGTATATTGAAATTATATGACCGATTGAGCGGTTGGAATGGTCCAAAGCCTACAGCGGGACGAGATTCGAGATAAATAGGTACATATATTGAGCTGAATGGATCCGGATGCTCTAGGTGAGAGGCTACAATTCGAACATCAGGTTTGGAAAGTTTTTATTATATGAATATATAGTGCCGGACAACTACAATATTAAAAAAATATTATATATACACAGGATTTTCCAAAAATGCACGTAGATAGCTGGGGAGATTCTTACTTAGAACATGGGGGAACCCCCAAAACCTCTACTTAGAACATCCCGTGAACATATATGTTCTAAGTAGTGGTCCAGGATCTCTACTTAGAACATGTTTTGGAATTCCAAAACCAATGTTCCAAGTATATGTCCGGCACTATAATGTAATGTAATGTAATGTAATGTAATGTAATGCATGTAATGTAGAATGAATGAATGAAATGAATGAATGAATGAATGAAATGAATGAATGAATGAATGAATGAATGAAATGGAATGAATGAATGAATGAATGAAATGAATGAATGAATGAATGAATGAATGAATGAAATGAATGAATGAATGAATGAATGAAATGAATGAATGAATGAATGAATGAAGGAAATGAATGAATGAATGAATGAATGAATGAAATGAATGAATGAATGAATGAATGAATGAATGAATGAATAAGAATGAATGAATGAATAAGAATGAATGAATGAATGAATGAATGAAATGAAATGAAGTGAAGTGAAATGAAATGAAATGAAATGAAATGAAATGAATGAATGAATGAAAGAAATGAATGAATGAATGAATGAAATGAAATGAAATGAAATGAAATGAATGAATGAATGAATGAATGAAATGAAATGAAATGAAATGAAATGAAATGAAATGAAATGAAATGAAATGAATGAATGAATGGAAATGAAATGAAATGAAATGAAATGAAATGAAATGAAATGAAAGAATGAAATGAATGAATGAATGAATGACTGAATGAATGAACGAAATGAATGAATGAATGAATGAATGAATGAATGGATGGATGGATGGATGAATGAATGAATGAATGGAAATGAAATGAAATGAAATGAAATGAAATGAAATGAAAGAATGAAATGAATGAATGAATGAATGAATGAACGAAATGAAATGAATGAATGAATGAATGAAATGAATGAAATGAAATGAAATGAAATGAAATGAAATGAATGAATGAATGAATGAATGAAATGAATGAATGAAATGAATGAATGAATGAATGAATGAAATGCAATGAAATGAATGAATGAATGAATGAATGAAATGAATGAATGAATGAATGAATGAGTGAATGAATGAATGAATGAATGAAATGAATGAATGAATGAAATGAAAGGAAATGAATGAATTAATGAATTAATGAATGAATGAATGAATGAGTGAATGAATGAATGAATGAAATGAATGAATGAATGAAATGAAATGAATGAATTAATGAATTAATGAATGAATGAATGAATGAACGAAATGAATGAATGAATGAATGAATGAATGAATGAAATGAAATGAAGTGAAGTGAAATGAAATGAATGAATGAATGAAATGACTGAATGAATGAATGAATGAATGAACGAAATGAAATGAATGAATGAATGAATGAAATGAATGAATGAATGAATGAATGAAAGAATGAATGAATGAATGAAATGACTGAATGAATGAATGAATGAACGAAATGAAATGAATGAATGAATGAAATGGATGAATGGATGAATGGATGAATGGATGAATGAATGAATGAATGAATGAATGAATGAAATGAATGAATTGAATGAATTGAATGAATTGAATGAATTGAATGAATTGAATGAATTGAATGAATGAATTAATGAATGAATGAATGAATGAGTGAATGAATGAATGAATGAAATGAATGAATGAATGAAATGAAATGAATGAATTAATGAATTAATGAATGAATGAATGAATGAACGAAATGAATGAATGAATGAATGAATGAATGAATGAATGAAATGAAATGAAGTGAAGTGAAATGAAATGAATGAATGAATGAAATGAATGAATGAAATGGATGAATGAAATGGATGAATGAAATGGATGAATGAAATGGATGAATGGATGAATGGATGAATGGATGAATGGATGAATGGATGAATGGATGAATGAATGAATGAATGAATGAAATGAATGAATGAATGAATGAATGAAATGAATGAATGAATGAATGAATGAAATGAAATGACATGAAATGACATGAAATGAAATGAAATGAAATGAATGAATGAATGGAAATGAATGGAAATGAAATGAATGGAAATGAAATGAAATGAAATGAAATGAAATGAAATGAAAGAATGAAATGAATGAATGAATGAATGAATGAACGAAATGAAATGAATGAATGAATGAATGAAATGAATGAAATGAAATGAAATGAAATGAATGAATGAATGAATGAATGAAATGAATGAATGAATGAATGAATGAATGAATGAAATGCAATGAAATGAATGAATGAATGAATGAATGAAATGAATGAATGAATGAATGAGTGAATGAATGAATGAATGAATGAAATGAATGAATGAATGAATGAAATGAAAGGAAATGAATGAATTAATGAATTAATGAATGAATGAATGAATGAGTGAATGAATGAATGAATGAAATGAATGAATGAATGAAATGAAATGAATGAATTAATGAATTAATGAATGAATGAATGAATGAACGAAATGAATGAATGAATGAATGAATGAATGAAATGAAATGAAGTGAAGTGAAATGAAATGAATGAATGAATGAAATGAATGAATGAAATGGATGAATGAAATGGATGAATGAAATGGATGAATGAAATGGATGAATGAATGAATGAATGAATGAATGAATGAGTGGATGGATGGATGGATGAATGAATGAATGAATGAGTGAAATGATTGAATGAATGAATGAATGAAATGAATGAATGAATTAATGAATGAATGAAATGAATGAAATGAATGAATGAATGAATGAATGAATGAATGAAATGAAATGAAATGACATGAAATGAAATGAAATTAAATGAAATGAAATGAAATGAAATGAATGAATGAATGTTATGTAGTGTTATGCAATGTTATGTAATGTAGTGTAATGTTATGTAATGTAATGTAATGTAATGTATGTATTTATATATATATATATTTATGTACATTTTGTATGTGTATTTATATATACATACAAGAAGCCAATTTTTCTTGCAGTTTGACCCTTTGTAAATCGGTGTTCGTCAAAACGAGTGCTTTGCATGGCCTTGCCTGATGGGAATTTTGCAGGAACCCCCTACATTTGGCGGCAAACTCGTTTCATGTAGATTTTCCCTTGAACCCATGGGGTGAAGTGCCAAGGTATATGTAGTGACTACCACACGATTCTATATATTGTAGTACGAACACATCCCAATTTATACTGTCAACAAACGCCTTTATCTATTGCACATGAAATTATAGCCATCACTGTTTCCTACTATCCATGTGTGCAAGTTGCCGAGATATTTCTACAGTATCTTTGCTAAAATACTTCTTTGTTTTGCTGGCTGACAGCCGATTCACTATCACTCTAGCCTTGTTGATTTGTTGGCTTGGTTTGTATGCCCAGTTCTTGATACATAATTAGGCACCCGTTTTTATCAATGGAATCACCGTTCTTGTTGATGAACTCCATCGTGGCGAGCAGCCAGTGAGGCTAGCCCTCTGCCGTCGCCAAAGGCGTGGGGTGACCAAGAGATTTCGAATGGATGCGGGTGTATGGGTCAAAAACGAGGTGCCAATGGACCATAAACATTGGGATAGAAACACACACACACAGACATGGACCAGAATTATCCTCCTTGGATCTTTGGATTTGGATCAAAACATAAGACCCTGTTGAAATTAGAAATTGAATGTTTACTTGCAGTATTCTCTATCCCGTATGCGGGTGCCGAGTTTTCAGTCATTTTTGATGACGGGATACTGTGCCACCCCCCTGAGAGCTATTGTTGTCGACACCTAAAAACTGGAGTGTCATCAACTACTCACGTCCCAAGATAATGACCATCCTGGCCACATCTTTCCTTTGAATTGAACATCAGGGTATATACTAAGACAATCTAAGACACCCATTCAAACAGGACTATTGTTAGCCCTGTGTGGCTGGATACATGAATAGATTAAGAAACAAATTTAGGGATTTTGCCATATGGCTTTGCCTGAAACTGGTGTACCCTAAAACTCAGTTGTTGATCATCACTTTCCCCATGAATTGACCATTTGGATGATATATCCATGAATATATACGTATATATATATATACATATTTCCCATGTTCATCCATTTTCAGACCCCATTCTCATCCCTCTTTCTTGGTTGAAAAGCCACCATGTTGCTTGGTCACCCAAGTGGGGTCAGAAACTCTGTCGACTGGGGCCGGCCTCACAATTCCAAAAGCAGCTGAGGCAAAACGTTGAGATCCTTCAGGTGGGTTTTCCTCACTGTTTGGGTCTTAAAGGGATAAGATCCCTATGTCTTAGTGGCAAAATCCCTAGTTGGGGGGTTCCTAAGTCATGGGGTACCCCCAAATCATCCATTTATAGATGGATTTTCCATCATCGAAAACCATCCAGCTATTGGGGGTATCCCCATTTATGGAAACACCCATATGTAACCACTATTAACCACTATCAACCATTATTAAACACTATTAACCACTAGTAACCCCCATGACTATGGACATCCCCAGTTCTGATGAAATCCCCTGCTTCGAAGCAGGCCGCGAATGGAACCAGTGCGGAGGTGCGCAAAGATATCTATGATAGGATGGTGGAATTTTGTGAATCCCATTACTGTAATATCATTATCAAAGTATATGGATTTTAATGAAATATATATCATATATCATTGTAATACCTGTAATTCATTGTAATATCATATATCATTATCCATGAAATATCAATGATCAATTAGCCATTGACTCAGCAATTTCTGGATATTTGAAGGGGGGCTGACCCCCACTTTTTTTCCGGTGACGGCAGCAGCTAAACCTGGCTGTCTTGGAGCCGTGATTTACGTACACAGATCTTGAATCTCCCTATATTGATGGTAAAATCGCTTAGGTTTCTTCGTTTTTTTTGTTCGTTTAGGTTTGTTTCTAAAAATCAAGTTCGAGTGATAGTGAATTGTAAATATAAATTCGAGTTGTTTGTTGGCAAAATCCCCGTCTACCTATTGATGGTTAAAATAACATGTTAAAGCCCCATCCATTATTGTGGTTTGGTATATAATTGCCACACTATTGATCATAGAGGTCCTTTTGGTACTTGCTGCTTGATAAGTAGAGGGCAAAACTCATTTAAACCGACCAATAGGTAAATGATAGTACATGGCATTCAGCCGGTGCCCAATTTTCCAGCATGAGGACATCATTGATTTATTATTCTGGTTTGCTATACATCTACCCATTTATTGACTAATTTCTCCCACGACATGGGTTCGGGGTGCCTTTCCAAATTGGATGGTCATATTTTTGCAAGTTTTTGGGGCATCTTATTGGAGAAACCACGTCATCACAGTCCCCATTCATGACTGGTTCAACATCCCAAAAGATAGGACAGTATTTCATGACTATTTTTCTAGTAGGCTGTGACAAATATATCTTTTCGCGGGTTGGTATATGTTATATATATATATACATACTGCATTCATTTACTAACTTAGAACATACAATATTATATACAATATTATTATATGCTCTTTGCAACTTTAAGTATATTATACGCTATATTATATCCCATCATTATCACATTATCCCATTATTATCTGCATAAAATCACCATTAAATCCCATTAAACCATCATTTATAGTTTGTGCATGCGATTGTTTCCCATTATGATCCACACTCACTATAAATATTATGATTGGGCATCTATAGTGATTTTGTTTTGCTTAGAATCATTATTCCCAATCATTGTCGTAACTAAGTATAATATTTTTTCTTTTATGTACTTGGATTCCAACTAGCATCATTCTAATTTACCCAATCCATATCCATATCATCATTTCGGTGTCCTCAAACTGATCCCAATCATTATCATTATTTTGCGGAAACAAAAAAAACAAATATAAATCACATACTGATTATAGATGTTATTATAGATGGTTTAACCCCATGATGGGAAACAAAAATCATATTTATCACATACTCATTGGGAATAATCAGTATCTTTATCCCATTCCCATTGGGAATAACCTCCATTATTTATCCTCCGTATTAAATATCACATCATCATTTCGGTGTCCTCAAAATCTCCTTCCCATTTCTTCTACGAAGAGCCAGGCCAGGGAGCGATTGCTGCAGATGATCGAGCTGGCGAAGGAATGATTTTTGGGGGATCGGATCGTTCACCATGACATGTGCAGACGAAGCTGGTTGGTTGGTGATTATAGGACTTATACTACATTATACTACCCAATACTGGTTGGTGGTTTGGAACATGAATTTTATGACTTTCCATTCAGTTGGGAATGTCATCATCCCAACTGACGAAGTCCATCCAAAATGGCAATGATCCAGCCAGAATGAGGAGAAGAAACTGCGCCGCAATGGTGGTGTAAGCATCAAGGATGTTGGATTTGTCATCAGAAATGGGGGTCTCGCCACCAAACATAGGGATTCAACCATCTCATCAAACGGTGGGATTTAACTAACCACCAAAAATCGAGGTCATTGCCAAACAGAATGGGAATTATTCACCCCGCTTCGCGTGGGGTGGCCGCCCACACCGCAGGTTTATTTAGGTCCGTGAGAGGGGCTAAGGGTGGTTTCCCCCCGTGGGGGCTCCCCAAGCTAAGAATTTTAACTTTCCCCCCCCGTGGGGGCTCCCCAAGCTAGGGAATTTTCACTTTTCCCCCCCGTGGGGGCTCCCCAAGCTAGGGAATTTTCACTTTTCCCCCCCGTGGGGGCTCCCCAAGCTAGGGAATTTTTACTTTTCCCCCCCGTGGGGGCTCCCCAAGCTAGGGAATTTTCACTTTTCCCCCCCGTGGGGGCTCCCCAAGCTAGGGAATTTTCACTTTTCCCCCCGTGGGGGCTCCCCAAGCTAGGGAATTTTCACTTTTCCCCCCGTGGGGGCTCCCCAAGCTAGGGAATTTTCACTTTTCCCCCCCGTGGGGGCTTCCCAAGCTAGGGAATTTTCACTTTTCCCCGCCGTGACAGCTTCCCAAGCTCAGCGGAATTTCAAATAGCTAGACAACGACGCCTAGATAGTCCCCCAAATCCCGTGTTCTTTGAATGTGTTTCCATGTTTTTGCAATGGTTTCCTTCAAAGCACGGTACTTTACACTTTTGTCGCCATAAAACCGGTCGAAAACATCATGTTCGACAATGCTTCCAATTCCCTTATCTCCCCAACCGTTGAAAATACCGCTATTTACAGTGTTTTCTTCAATTTTTCCATGTGCCAATGCCGGTAGCCAACTCCAACATATATATAAGAAATCCTTCCAAAACATTGTTTTTGACAGTGTTTTTCCAATGTTTCCAGTCAAACAGACGGTAATTTACACGTTTTTTGCCATAAAGGCAGTAAATCCTTCCAAAACATTGCTTTTGACAGTGTTTTTGTAATGTTTCCAGTCAAGCATACGGTAATTTACACGTTTTTTGCTATAACGTCAGTCCAAAACACTTGTTTTTGCAGTGTTTTCAATGCTCTGGCATCCAAAAACCCTGCAAAATCTTGCTATGTACAATGTTTTTTTCATTTTTGGCCGTTTTTCCATTGCCGGAAAGCTACCAAAATGACCCAAAATTCCATTTCAATACCCTCTTGCGCTCAGACACCCAAAAATCCTCGAAAAATGTCGAAAACACCACCGTATTCTGGTCTCGGTGCGAAACCGTTTTTGGGCCCCCCCCCCCAGCTAAAGCTGATATAGCGACTGCTATATTAACAAATGTCATTGAGCATTTAGTGTTGCTGTTTTGCCCCCCAATAAGCACGCCTTCACCGCCAAAGCGGTGTGGGCGGATTTCTTGGGAAGATGTCACCTGCCAAAAGAATCAGGTTTTTGATTGATCATAAGCATAAGTTCTGCAGACTGAGTAACCATAAGCAGCAGGTTGATCCTCAGAGGATACTGGATCAGTAGATATTTTCAGAGGGATAACCATGGTAGAGGATACTATTCAGATGTTATTATAGATGGTTATCCCATTATACTGTACCATCTGTACATGTTCTGATGGCCAATGGGTGTTGTAAGGGACATTTCGGCAAGGGGTATGATCAAACATGCAGGCTGTTGAGCACAGCACAGCCAGCTTGAATGTTGCATAAATGGGTTTGTCTGAGAATACGGTATCCGCAAACAATGCTATAGAAAATGATCTTCCAATATATTCCCAATGAACAAATTTTGATGCGGAGTATCACGGTAACACGGTATCCCTCATTTTCAGGCATTCCTCAATATCATATTGCTGTTGACACAGTGACACACATCATACATCATTATATTCATTTATATCCCCATGATATCCCCCAAGTTGGTTGGTTTTCCAACCAACCATGTGGCTGTTGATGAAAATTCCCGAGTCAACATATCACCACCATGTGGGGTAACCATACCCCATATGATTGTTGGTTAAATCATTGGATTAATTCCTTGCAATCATGGTTATATATGCAAATGATGATCATATTTTGAAACCATTGGGTAAACTCTACAACCGCTGAAATTCCCATGTCACAAAATTGGTTGATTCAATCCCCAATTGACAGCTGACCTCAAAAAGAGAGCGGGGCAGATTTTTTTTGGGGTTTACCACATTGCATCAATTCTCAATCATTCTCAATCCAAAAAAGATATTGCACATCCTCTAGTAAACTATACAATATAAGTATGGACAATCACCCTTTTTAACAGGTAAATGATCGAAAAAAAGGGGCCTTGGCTTCCATAGCAAATTGTTAGTTTACCTAATATTATATAAATCCCTTCCTGAACGTCATTAAATCCCCAAAAGCCCATCAATATTTCCGTCAAATCATGGTCGAATCCCCACGGTTTGATGCAAAAATCCGTCAGGAACGCACCATGCAGCGACGACACCTGAGCGACGCTGCGGAAGAAGTACGAGAGCAGGCAGGGCAGTGGCCAAAATGTGGGATTTGACCATGAAAAATGGCGGTTTCAGGGTTAAACAGTAGTGATTTAGCCAGCAAAAATGGCAATTTAGCCATGACAAATGATGATTTGATTATGAAAAATGGTGGTTTCAAAATCAAATGGTGATTTTCATGGGGATTTCATCGTTGCTCATAACCATCAACATAAGCATCAAACATGGGAGGTACAATATAGCCATTGAATATTTTTGGTTTCAATCAACAAAAATAGGAGGCAGAACATGTTGTGCGCAATGCGTTTAGCCCAACAAAAATGGAGACTAAAAATCAAGAAATGTAACATTGGCGATTTTACAGCCACCAATTTGGGCATGGTGACCCCACGAATATGATGTCATATGGCGACCCAATGGCATACACCTCAACTGGCTATGTATGGTTTGTAATACCCGCAGAATTGGGATGGTCCAAGCCACTCATACTTCAACTTGACGGGAGCCTCGGCTTGCATTGCGCTCTGATCTTATTTGGGGTGTTTGATATGCTGGGGCAGCCCCCCTGATCAGCATATCAAATATTAGCTGGTCTTGCTGTTGGATGAATAAATATGTATATACATATATATATATATATACACATTACATTTGGGTCGTAAGTTGCAACCCGCCGTCGAGATATTTATTGATGATTGCCCGTTGCCATTACTTACTTTCCTTACTCTTGTTGGCAGGCCATCTCGCATTGGGTTGTTGGCTATTTATCCAATCTTCCTGGTGAATGCTGACCAAAAAAAGTCATAGAATCCCCTGGGTTGCTCGGTCATATACCCTGCAATTGGTGTTTCATTCCCCCCAAAAATATTCATTTTGTTGTATAACCTGCCATGTTTGTTGACAACCCCCCAACTCTTGCTGGTCAAAGACCCTTTTCGCAGGCTGCTGTTTTGTTGCTCAAAGTAGAAACATATCAGACTTATTTAGACTTATTCAGTGACAACTTAAATTTTTAATAGATGTGGAAACACCATTTGCAGATCATTTTCCTAGGGTTTCCCCATGGGTTTTCCATATCTGTCCACATCTACGTTAGTTTACCCCAGGGAAACTCTCCAGAGTGTCAGTCTGTTCCGGAGGCTCGAGCACTGGAGGTCGGGGAACCCAAAGTTGGTCGCGACCCTCATATACAGTAAGTATATATATATACACATACAGCATATATATATATATGCAGACAGTCTTCATACAGTATATTAATTATACTGCAGAGTGTATATATATATATATATGATGATGATGAAACTATAAATGTATAGATACTAATACGCATTCAATCAACATGTTTGTTTGGGCTGCTTCACTCCAATTCGAGCAAATTTCATCAGCAGAACGGAGGCTTGAAAACCACCTTTTCGAGGCAATGCCAACATGAGACCTGAGAGTTGACCAATGGGTGTCACCAATTCCTCAGGAATAGGGGGGAAGCCAACAAGGATCATTCTTGACATCAGGATATATCAGGATTATTCTTGAATTTTGGGTTTAGAATCTAGAATCTAGACACATACCCCACGAAATACTTGGAGATGGGCCGAAGCTTCTGAGCAACATCAAATTTATCAGGTGTTTGATAGAGTTTTACCCATTTAAACACATGATAAAAGAACATGTACTAGATATTTACTGTAACTCATTTTTTTTTCGTTTCTTCCGACATCAGGAACTATTGACGAAAGAATTTCTCATCAATTCAGAAAGAACCGAATTAGTTTAAAACATATTCTGATCATTACAATCTACAATGCATGGAGACATAGAGATATAATCAATATTAATCAATAGTCTTTTGGATTTTTGCAAAAATTCTACTGAAAACCTGGGAATTGTATGATTGATGATTGACAAATATAAGAGCTGTGGCCAAAACCTCAGTTTCATTCCTTTGTAGTAACATAGGTCTTCTGCGAGCACTTCCGCGCTACTTCCGCGACCACAATTTGCACTTCTGCGGAAGCTGCCCGACTATAATTTACTTCTGCTCTGCTTCCGCGGTGCGTTGCCCAACAACAAGTTCACATTACGGGTCTCTAGATAACGTGTCAGCTCCTGCTCCTCTCCTCTTCTGCTCCTGTTTGCCTCCTTTCATAGCCAGCTGCCAGACTCTGCGTGCCCACCACCCCACATCAATAATTATCTCGTCCCAAAACAAAGCAAACAAAGCTCCCTAGCAACTATAGCCTACAGGCCTATAGGGGCTTGGAATTGCACTGTTTGCTTTTGCAGGGCTTCCGCGAAGCTTCCGTGGTGGATGTAGGACCTATTTTTCGGGTTCCGCGACGCTTACGCGTTGGGTTTTTCTTTCTACGAAGCGATTTTGCCTTAAATGTAAAAAAAAAACCTATCCGTATTTATATCTAGTGAAATCTTTCCGATTCTGGATAAATATTATAATTAATTTGGGAACAATATTAGGTAATATTATTTAATTTATATTTTTATATATGGGATAAATTTAAAACTATATATATTTATAAATAACAAATTAGGGACGTATCTAAAAAAGCAAATTGGGTTATTATTATATAAGAAATTAATTTTATTTGTATTTTATTATTACGAATTATAAAACTAATAAATGGGGATATAAAAT